GAGAAATTGTTTCATCTGTTAAAAGACAACTAAACTCAAAGTATGCCTTATCCTTCACTTCCACAGTCACAATGCAGGACCAGTAACTTTATGGTCAATAGTATATAACAAAAAAACAAACAAAAAACCCACGGAAGACAATCTTCATGGGTCCAGGTTTTTCCCAGACACTTGCTGGTTTAATCTGGCGTTAGCTATAATAAAGCTGAAATAGCGTATCAGACCTCTCAAGATTCAAGATCTAAAACAAGACAGAGATAAAAACCATAGAAAACACCACAACAAGAATTCGAAATTTGTACATACAAAAGGAAAACAAACCCAAAATAAACTAAAATAAGTTTCTATGGCTGCAAGTCAAATTATAGTTTTTAGTCTAGAGTTGCTTTTACTGACTCCAAACAAAAAACAAGATGATCTTAGGTATAGTAATTTTATTTCCCCCCAATCTTAGGTGCATAAATGTACCACAGCTTAATATTTATCTACTCATTTGATGTTAAAGTATCAAAAATACCATAAAGTGTTACTAATTAACTGCCTCTACAGCTCACTGTTTTCCATGATCCCTTTTCAGCAATTCAATTAGGTATATGGAAGAAAAAGAAAGTATCAGAACTCTGAAATATTTTAGTCCCTATCTTTTCAGATTTCACGAGTCAAGATCTGAAAACCATACATAACATATGGTATAAAAAAATCAGTAATTTTAAAAGACAAAACCCAATATGTCAATTAAATATGCAAAGGAGTATTTGATTAGTCTGAAGAGAAGGGAAACTCCAAATCCTAATTCCCAATTTTACAGTATAGCTCTTAATAATCCCATTTTTAAAACTGAATTGAAATGGTCTTTCATGTATGTTGATTTTTAATTAATCTACAGGGAAAACCACTCAAATAAGTGATAGTGAAAAATGCTTTTGATGTCCCACTTGCCAACACAACTGATCTGAGGCTGAAAAGTTGATCTTTCACTAAAAACTGCATCTGACAGAGCAGGCAGAGATCATTTCTCAAACTGCAATCTAATAAGCAAGGTCAAAAGAAGGAAGTTAGGAAGGTGATGAAGTTGTTACTCCTGTTTGGCTACGCCTCCAAGGACGACATTTTCAGTTTCTTAACGGACAAAGAGTCAGTCCAGCAAAATCAGCAAGCATACATAGAGGTCAGCCAGCTTCACTGGTAGTAGTAAACTCAAATGCTCCTCTACACTAAAACTTAATTTGCCCTGAAATGAAGAACAGTTAGACTTTAAAATTCCCCAAACAGCAATACTTAACCTTTACTCAAAAAAGGACCGTTGGTTAGAAAGTTAAACTGAGGCTCTCATGACAACTCAGCTCATATGTGATTTGAAAAGCAGTAGTTCTAAAAAGGGTGTTTCCTGGAGTCTCTGCCCTTACAACTTTTGCAACTACTAACCACTAAAATTTCTGAACTGACAAGATCACAGTAAACAACATCCTCTGACTAGTGAGGAAAGAAACCAATTATTTGCCTCAATTTGACTAAAGATTATCAAGATTATTTTCAATAAACAACAGATGCTTACTGAGATGGTAACAAATGTTACCATAAAGTTATGTTGGGCATGCCATTAAATTACTACAGAACCCCGTTAATGTACATGCAATGCTTCAAAGTGATAAAGTAAGAATAGAAAAGGGTAATTTTAAAGTAAAAATTATCACAGTCAAAATATCTGTATAACCGGTACTTTTTAAGCATTACTACCTCTAATGAAAAGCTTTCCTCAGTAAATCAGCTGATTCACATGATTACATGATTCACATTTAACACCTTTCTTTACCAACAGGTTTGTACAGCTACTGTTCTCAGCCCTACCAAAAAGGAGTATTTTCTAAAAGAAATGCTGAATAAATGGCAAGACTAGGTAATGTTTTCCTATTCACCTGAGATGGCTGATTAAACTACATGAATGAAAACTGTATAACTCGGTTAATCTAAGAATTTATACTATTTAAAAAAAAAAAACAAAACCAAAACCAAACATTTTTCTTTGTTACTATGGAAGATGTATAATTTAGCAGAAGAGTTTTAGACAGGCTCCTCAGCAAACATCAAATGACCTGCACAACTGAATCAGCAGTTTAAACTTACATTCGTACCTGCTCAAAATCCCTTTTTAAATATAAAACATCTACCACTCTAAAAGTGTCTAAGAAAGATTTAGTTACAGTATGAATTACTAATACAGTGCTATTTCAGAGATTGCTTTCTGCCATGAAGCATGGTCCAAGGATAAATTCTAATTTAAAAGCCATCAAAATCAGAAATTTAGCATTATTTTAATACTCCATGTTCAGGTGTTCTCCCTGCACAACAGAAGTGGCACTTCTGATACACTCTCCTTCATAAAAGTAGTGGGCAAGTTTTGTTACTATGAATTTTTTCCTCAAAGCAGGACTGGCTCACTTGCATAGCAACAGTTTGGGATTGAGAAATTACTCACTATTCACCACTGGTATAGTTCTTTAATTAAGAAAACTATTTCTACAACTCAGAAAAGCAGTGGGTACAAGATTTACCGTCTAGCCTCCTCAGAGTTCAAAAGCACTTGTCACATAGAAGCTGTATGCTTACTAGTGATCAACATGCTAAGCATCCTTCCCCTAGTTTGAAACCTCCAGCTGTAATGTTTTATTCTATTTATTAACAAAATTGGCTGCTTCAAAATTCAGCTCTTTCCTCCTATAGCAAGTCATGGGATGTTGGGTGACAGGACTTGTTAAAAGCGCTTCATGCTGGGAAGCTACTCATCAAAAACTGAGACTTGAATGGGGCTGAAGAATTTTTTTATCCTTACTGCTGTAAAAGTTTCTCATTGCTCAAATGGGTTTGTTCACATAATCTCAAACGATCCAATTTCATACATGCAAAATAACATTTAATACTGATGGTGAATCTCAAAGAATGAGAAGAGTTGAGTCATTTTCTGTTGGAGATGTCTAGAAAGAACTGTCACAGAAAAATACTGATTCAGTAAATGACCTTCTTCACTCTACAGCATTAGTGAACCATAGTCATAAACTTACTGGCACAGCATGCTAACAAAAGTGCTTGTTTCAGATGAAGCACAAATATTCAGACTTCTCACACCATTTTATAACAATCAACCATAAAAAGAAAATATTCAGGCAACACAGTTCTTTTTAGCCAAAACTTGCTATCCTCAGTATGGAACCTCACAAAGAAAACAGAACTCCAGTAAAAATACAAGATACTTAAACATGAAAATATAGTAATACACATATTATCTTGCTACAGCAAAGATGTAAAAACTTGCAACTGTCTCTTCCTCAAAACTCTCTTAAGAAAATTACCAAGTTTAAATTCTGTAACTGAGGAAAACTACATAGAACATTATGTTCACTTAAGACCATTTTTATATGATCACATCAAATCTTCTTACTGAGCATAAAGAAATACCAAAGCCACTTGCTCCAGAAGTCCAGTCTACAGTTGCATTTTTTCCTCACTTATTATGCAACAGCTCTAAAAAGAGTATTTCCTTATTGAGGCACAGAATTGTTACATCAATCAATTTAATACAGAAAAATGGAAGCCTATTTTAGAAACTATTTTTATTTTTAAATTGTTATATAAAAAAGACAAATTTGCAGCAGTTAAGAACAGCCGAGTAGGCTGTTAGCACATTCAGTCACATTACAAGACCCCAGAGCTGCAAATAGCCTGTGTGCATGGAGGTACCTGTAGCTTTCGGCAAAGCATAAAGAAATTATATAGCAGTAGTTGCAGTACGAGATTTCATAAGCTAAAGGTAGACATGTTTTGTAAAGCTCCATATAAAGAAATAAATTATCATGCATGAAAATGGAATACTTTTGGCATATGATCATGTTACGATCTATAGCAACTTTCCAAAAGCAGAGAATAAAACAAAACCAGCAATGAGCTTACACCACTGACCTACAGCAGTATCTCATAAAAGATTTAAACCCAGTGCTATTCCTAGCCCCTACCTCATCACAGCCATGGATATTTTTCCAGCTTGACTGGATTTTCCCCCTCCCTAATTGCTAGTTTTAACTGAAGACAATGTAGATTAAGAATCAACCTTAAAAGCAGCATAGAGACTGTGCGGTAATTATGTGCAGAAAGATACGTGACATTTTGTATCAAAAGCAGACACTGGAAATGCTAAAATACAGATACCCCTTCCAGCAGACGAAACAAAACAACTGCCCGTCTGCTGCTGCTGCTGGTACCTCGCCAATCAATAACACCGCACAAACGCACCACATCTCCTCCTTCATCCCTACGTCCTCTGCGGACGATTATTTGGACGCTCTAATACCCGCATTTCGCCAAGTCTAATCAGCAGGTCACCTCGCAGCCTAGAAGAAGGGGCAGGTGAAGCAGAAGGGCGGTGGGGGAAGCGCCAGCAGACGCATCGCTTGGGTGCAATGGAGATTTAAACGCCGAGCGGCCGCTTTCTGCGGCGGCAGCCGCTGCAGGAGCATCCCGCCCGGCTCGGCGCGGTGGGGACGGGCTCTCCCGAGAGCGGGCTGACAGGAACCTGCTCCCCCCCACCCCTCAGCCGCTCCCGCAGCCCGGCGCCCCCCCACCCCATCCCCACTCACCGAGACCCGAAACCCTCCCGTCACCGCCCCGGCCCCTCACCGCACGCACCCTGCGCGCAGCTGGGTTTTCCACACTCACCCCCCCACCCGCCCCGCTGCTTGTTTTCAAGGCAGAGACACCCCCCCGCCCTTCTCCCCGAGCTAAACAAGCTGGTTCCAGCCTCTGCGCCCCAGTCCCATCTCGCCGCCCCTCGCTCCCCCCTCCGCAGCGCCCGCCTCCCCCTCACAGCCTGCCTGCCGCCAATGCTGCGCCCCCACTCGCTTCCCCCCCACGAGGACCGTTAACGGCTGCACCCCTCCGCCGCGCGCGCCCCCCCCTCCTCCCCGGCCCGTTACCGGCGACGCCCCTCCCGCCGCCCCCACGGCGCTCACCCGAGGGCAGGCGAGAAAGGGCGGCGGGAGGGAGCGCAAAAGAAGCGGGGGCCGCTGCAGACGCTCCCCTGACGAGGCTGCCGCTGCCTCCGCCGCCGCCGGCCCCAGCTCCGCCCCGCGCCGCTGCCACCTCCCCCACAGCCACCGGGCGGCCCCAGCCCCCACCCGACAGGGTGCGGCTTCCCGAGGCCGCAGGCCAATAACCGCGCCGCCCATTGGAGGGCGCACGCTCGGCGACTAAGCGGCTCCCCGATTGGCTGGGGCAGGCGGGCGGGAGGGGGAATGGCGGGCAGCGGGGTGCCTCTGCCGCGGGATTCCCCAAGGACACAGGCAGAGGTTGGGGCGAGCCCCACGCACAGCGAAGGGGTTTCTGGTGGAGCGGAGTCTCTTCGGAAAGGAGCAGCGCGTCGCCTGGGAAGCTTATCTTGCAGCGGGCTGAGAGATAGGGGCAAAAATCGAGCAGTTACCGAGGAAGCGTTACGGTTAAGGGTTCTTTGACGATATCTAATCGCCGGGAGCTCAGAGTAAGTCAGGGTCGAGCCACAAGTGCAGATACCCTGCGAGAGTAATCAGGCTGGAGAACCGCGTTGGTGAGGGTTAGAGACATCTGTCAAAACTAAAGGTATTTAAGTCAGTTGAATATCCTCTGGATCTTAAATTCCAGTCTAATGAGAAGTTGTACACCTGATTCAGGAAGTGTGCAGGTATATTGTATAGCTTGTATCTAGGAGGCCTGATTAGATCTTTATTAATCTGCCCTTTAGATTTTCTGTATCTTTTGATATCTATGTATGGCTAGTATAACCCCACAGTTTGTTAGTCACGGCACATAAAGCATCAACCGTAAAGTTAACTTGTTCTGTTAACTATCTTTATTGCCTGTACATTTTTTACTATCATTTATATTTAATTTTAAAACTACTGCTCTACAAGTCTTTTTGGAAATTTTTGTATAGAAAAGTGCCTGCCTCAGGTCAAAGGAAGAGCTGGGGGTTTGGCAACCTACTTTCAGAAACACTAAATTCTTCTCTGTTACCTGTACCCCCACCCCTGAGTTACCCATATGATCAGAAGAAAAATAGACTCCTGCTAGCAGAACCTGATGGGTGTCTTCAGGAGCCATAAACATCTCTCCCTTAGAATGTGGGAGGAATCTAGCCTGCTCCAAGCACTTCCATGGAGGAAACACTCCACTTACCTAGTTCACACTTTCTGGCAGTTAATCCTCATTTGTTCACTGTTCAGAATGGAAAAGCAGGCCACATACATAAACTTGCATCTGAATTCAACCACCAGAAATGGTGGTTTAGTTGTGAAGTGATGACAGAATGATTATCGCACATCTGACAAGACACTGCTGGACATAGATCTGACTCATCAAAAACATCCCACACCAGGACATGCGTTAGTGTCATTAGTAATAATTAAGAAACTCTGTCTGAACTTTTTTCTTCTACTGTTGTTGTAAGCCTAAAACATTACACATTACCTGCCTAGTGCTGAACCCTGTTAAACCCAGTGGCTGTGTTTACACACAAGATGGCATACTTCAGTCCTTGTTCAAAGTCTACTCAAGGAGATTTGCAGGTGCTCTGCACCTGGAGGGTCCAGCCACCTGTCTCATGCATTCTCTTCCCCCGCCATGTAGGTGACTGTCAAAACTCTTCATCTTGGCACTTCAGTTGCCTCTCTTTCCTCACCATGTCATTCAGCACATAAATCCCTCTTTCTTCTTGTCTGTTAAGGTAAAAGGAAGAATGGATCCATATTATAACTAACTCTGCAAAAAGTACTGCTTTGTTTTAAATTAAATGGGTTTCCTCTCCAGCTCAGTGCATGGCTGTAAGGCCAGCAATGCCGAGAAAGTGGGGATGGTGAGGACAGCAGCAGTTCCCAGGGCCTGGGGAAGGGCAGGGTCATTTCTTTCCCTAGCAGCATTGGCATAAAGTGTTTGTGTAGGTACCAGGTGTGGTTGTCACAAGCAGTTTAGGCTGATCAAAGGATACGTTTTGTCATGGCGCCCGTTCGCTCTAATGGTGAAATGCTGCAGAAGTGCTCCTCTGCCCCTCTCTTCTGCTGTCCTACTCTGTGACCTGCCTAAGGTCACAGGTTCCTGCTGTCTCCACCCCTTGCATCATATCCCATAATCCTGAGCCCAAAGAAGATATTGTTTCACCTGGCCAATCTGATGGAAAAATTGAGGGGTGAGAGAGGGGGTGAGGCCAGCTTTCTGCTGAATCAGCCCATTCAACCAACTGCCTTGGCAGCCCGAGACTGCTCAAGCTGATGCAGGACGGTGTGAATCTTGTGTGTTCAGTTTTTGGCCTGAGCAGGTTCCTCAACTGCCTCTACTCAGCTGCAGGAATGGCAACGCTGGTGCAGAGGCAAAGGTAGGATTACAGGTAGGATTACATGGGTAGAAACATATGGGAGGGCACATACATACTGACAAGTACTAAAGCAGTAGGCTGTGCTGCAGAAATAAGGGATCACAGACAATCTGAAAAAGCACTTCTGCATTATTTAAGACATGATGAACTTGTCATTGTTAACTCTTACCGGTTGGGTTTACAGCATTACAGCTACAACAAAAGGTACAATATGAACCACACAGTATTTTTCAGCCTGTAGTATTTGACTTAAGATCTTTGCACTGCTGGGGAGGGGTCTTGGAAAATGACCAAGACAAGCTCGTTGCCAGGAGGCTTGCACTTGCCATATGCACATCTGCATGTGTACTGGAGGAGGGTTACTGGTCCTTCAAAAATTAGAAAAATACTACCACGTATGTACAGACAGCACATTCCAGCAACAGGTGTCAGAATGTGGTACTGTTTAGGCAGTATAGACGTTCCATATGCTGGCTCATCCACATAAATTGTTTTCCTTAGCAGGCTCAAGCATCAGCAGCACCAGACTCAATTTACATCATGCAGTCTCAAATGAAAGAGTCAATAAGAATGTATTAATTTACAAATTATTTTAGTTTGGCTTTACTAGGTACCAGAAAAATAATACTGTAAAATTATTTTTAGCCAACTGACCCCTTTACATGGCATTAGCACTCCTTGATGATCAAACCGTTTACAGCTACCTGTAAGAAGTACAGTACAGAGCTGATGTCACAAATCTGGCATCAGGCTGTTTATCTTTTGCTTTACATGGGGTGCACTCATTCCACATAAGCAGTTCCGGGTCAATTTTCTCACCTATAAAGAGGGAATGATGGTATCAGAATAGTTCTTTCCCTCTTGGCCTGCCAGAGCTGTTCTGTCTTGACAGGCTGTTGACTGGGCAGGACTTGCTTCCCTGCTGCAATCATTCGTTTTCATCTCACACAGACCTTTTACTGCTGGGACAAAGTTCTGGTTCCTCTAAGTAAAACAGTGCCAGTTTTTGTCTGCTACTTTTCCCATGAGCCTTCAAAAGTTAAGTCTTACTGTTGTAACTTCCTTGTCAGATGCCAGCAAAGTAAAAGCCAGTCCCTGATCCGTCATCCCAGAGTTGAAGCGGCGGGAGGGCGGAGGTAGACAGACACAAATTACCTGGACAAAATACCCGAAGAGCAGCCCTAGAAGTGCTGTGTGTCTCACTGGCAACGGGGACTCTGCTGGCAGTGGTATAAGGGAGCTTACATCCATGTAGCTTTACTACTGAAAAGCTCGTGAGGGATTTTACTTTGAAATTATGGAACTTAAATGCATTTTTTAAAATGATGTAATGGGTTAGCTTAATTTCAGCTGCATATAACAGCATTAATAATACCTTATGGCTTCAGTGTAGTATTAATAAATTTGGTCAGCGTAGGTAAGGTTATGTCAAAAGTAGTATTAGAAACTTTTTGTTCCAGCTGCAATCATATCCTTTGCAGGAAAGAGCTTCTTTTTTGGATTTTAGTGATTTATGGAAGGAAGGAGAACTTTCTCAGTGATTTGAAATTAGTATGCAGAAACAATCTTTAATGTATATATATGCGAGAAACATCTGATGGAACAACTACATGGAGGGGAAAAAAAAAAAAAAAACAAAAAACAAAGGAAAGTTATTCTGGTCTACTTTCATCTCTTTCCACAATCAAACAAAAACACATCTGAAGTTTATTTCAGCTGAAAAAAATGAAAATGAAGAGAACTAAAGCAGCAGGTGGGGAACGGGCAGAGCAGCTGGAACAAGCTGATACTAAATGTTGCCAGATTTTACATAATTTGTTGAACTGAGAGGCCACTTTGGCTTCAAGTTTGAAAAATATTGACTTTATGCTCAAGGGGGCATAGGGAAATTATTATACACGATTGAGATTAAATGTATATCTAGCTTCATGGTTACTAACAGTTTCATTTAAACACAACAAAAGGTGCAGTGATTGCTTTGGCCAAAAAGAACTCAAGCAACCAACTTTCTCTTTTAACGCTACAAGAATCTTTGTGGAAGTTTAGGTTTGTTTTTCCAAAATCCTTTTCCAAGTAAAGCTGATTCTTCTAATGGCAACATTTATTACTTCCTAAGGATCATGTGCCTTCTAAAGTTATGTTCTCTGCAGGTTGCTTCTATACTAATTCCAGTGTCACTAGAGCTACTGAGAATGTTTTTAGCTGCACTCTAATGACATCTTCATCCTTAGCAGTAGGAGAAGGAAAAGTGCTACTAACAGAACTTTTAAGCTAAGTTTAGAGTGAAAAACTGTCCCAGGAGAGTAAAACAAAGAAAGGAAAGAGAAAAAAAGATAGCAGGGCAAGTTCAAAATAATAAGGAGAGCTGAGAAGTGCGAGAAAAATACTTTAAAGTAGTTAGTATTTTAATTATTATTATATACAGGAGAAAATTAATCAATCTTGGGAGAAGCTTTGTAATATTAGAATACTGACTTAAATTATTTTAAATCATATTTTAAAAAGGAACATTTTTTGCAGAACTCCCTTGATTAGGGTGTGGCTGGCATTTACTTGGAAAAATAAATAAGCATGAATGTTGGCACAGTGTAAATTAAAGCACAATGTAATCATCAAAGCTGAAAACAGAGTTTGTGAGGCCACACCTGGCACATCTTTCCTTATTCATCCTGCAGTAAAACCCTTTAATATGTTTATGTGGAACAGACCTTTTGGTTGTTTTTTTGTTTTTTTGTTTTTTTTGTTTTTTTTCCCTGTGCTGCTATGGCAGACCTTTCACATCACTGGCCTTCAGTATTGCTGCAAGACTCCGCCCATGCAAAAAGCCTTCAAGGTCAGGATTTAAGTGTAAATCAGCCTCCCAATACAAGAACCAATCATGCCAAGATTGTGCAGAGAGGGAGTTAGTATGAATTGGTTGTTAAAAGGCAGAAAAAGTGGCAACTCAAAGGAGGGTGAGATTTTTTTCCCCCGGTTTTACATATCCAGAGATCTAATCCTGCAAACAGTTATTATTACTGTAATTTTTGTGCAAACCAACTCCAATAGAGGTACGTGTAAGTAAAATTCTGTTAAAAATTATTCTTTTATATCTCTAAGATGACATGCCTATTAGGGCCATGTTGTGAACCTGAGAGGCTGGATTATCCACTTCCCTGGTAACTAGATGCTCTAAGGAAGGAGGTACAGGTGAGGGGTAGTAACGACCACACTGTAATTAAGATACAGGAATGGAAGTCCTGAAGGAATAGATTTTGGGGTTAGCTATGCTACAAGACTATGTACCTTAAACCCACTGAATTTAATCAGTTCATCCAGTTTTAGAGTGAGCTCAAATATTATTTACTCTAGAAGTTTTAGTACTATGTGCTATTTGGTATTTTGGTACTTCGCATATTTATAGAAAAGAACTATGAGCTCTCCTATTTAAGGGGTTGTAATCATGGTCATCTCAAGAACTCCCATTGCTCCTTGACTTTGAAGAGTTGACTGTTTAGTGAGATAGAAACTATTGCAACATCATGTGATTTGCTTTCTGCTAGGTGAAGTATTTAATGTTCAGAAAAACTCTAATGCTTCACAATGTAGATAATTTACATGGTGCTTAGATGTCCATTATGTAAATTCTACCTCATAGTATATTTTAAGAATAATGTAAACACAGGAACTTGAGTCAATTAATTTTGTTGTCATCTACGTTAAAAGACATTCAGATAAGTAATTTTGCTAAACAATATTGCTACTTACACAAGAACGATGAGCCCAAGGACATCTTAAGTTTCAAAGACCTGGCCCATCAAGTTTCCACCTGAAGTCAGGCTTCAATTTCTAGCTGCTACCCGAAGTCATTTAGGATTGATTTCTATCCAGATGACTTCTATGCCCACGCTCAGTGGTGGTATGCCTGTCGCTTGGAACCCTGCATGGAGCAGGCTGACCAGCAGATGTCCCCAAATTCAAAATAATCACATTAAAGATTCCAAAGATCTTTACAGCCCTTTGGAACTTTCCAAAGCATGAATCACCAGAGGCCATGAATACTCTTGCTGCTTATTTACATTCTTGTAAAAACTGAAGTTTCAAGCTAGGGAATACTTGACTGCTGACACAAAGCACCTTTACGGTCATAGAAAAATTGTCTGAATATCACTTCACTTTTTATTATATATTGCCAATTGATTGACAGTCCCTTGTTGAAACTTTTCTTTTCAAAAGCACTCTAATTCTTTTCGCTGTAAGAGCAATCCCCTCACAACTGTCACCTAGAACACTTCTTCCTGGAAGTCTTGATGCAAGAGGCAAGACTTCTTCCAAACTAGTATCAATTATTTTAACTTGGATATTGCCAAACTCAAACACTGCATTTTTTTGGCATACCAAATACTGCTTTTACACTTCTTCACAAACTATTTTAAAGCTAAGGAGCTTGCCATAGGTTGTAGATGCAAGAGGCTGAGATGTGGTGAAGGAGAGTCAGGTTAGTAAGAGGTCTGGGAGACAGAGCTGTGCGTTCCAGCTGTGCAAACACCAGAAATTTAACATCTAATTCTGCACAAAACAGACTAGACCAGTATGTAGGAGCAGGATGACTTGGAAGAGACTGTAAGTGATTGCAGATTTGTTTGGAACCCTTCTACCTGTTTCTAGAGGGACAAGTGGATTACCTAGCACATCCTTATCTATACCTCCTACCTTGAATTCTGGAGATGTCAGAGATTTTAACCTACGAGATTGTAAGCCTACGCTACTCGTACTAACCTACAGATGTAAACCTACCAGGTTACACTGATGTTTCTGAGCAGAAGGGCTGTTACGTGCTGGGAAATGGGAAGGTCTTTTTTTGCCTAGCAAGCTCCTGAAGAACACCTTTGGAGACTTGGCTTTCTTGCTCGAACATTCCTGTTCCTCTGAGATGCTGTTTTCATTACGGTCATACTTGCATTTTCTGTCCATAGATAAAATGAATATTTCAGTCCTCAACCCTGCATGCAGGAAACTTTGAAGTAAATGGAAAATGGGTGATTTCCACCCCCAGCCACACTGCCTGATGACCAGAATGCCAAATGTCCGATAGCGTTGCTTACCTGAAGATTTGCTTCTCAAGGCAGCTGAAAACTAATTCTTCTAAATTGACAGTTAGAAGAATCAAGCACTATTTAAGATAAGGACAAACAAAAGCATTAAAACACACACCCATGAAGATAAAGACAACTGCACAAAATTAGGTGAACTGGCATTGAAAGTTTATCCACTTCAGAAATATATACATTTATATAAAAAAGGAAATCAACACAAAAATTTACATATTTGCAAATCTTGTATTACACAGGCAAAGACAGTGTTATTTTTATATCGATTAGATTATATAAGTATTTTTACAGTTTAAAAAAAAAATCTTAAGAGTATATGGTTGCAATAAAAAAAACCCACAAACCTGAATAGGGCCCCAAAGTTAAATATGACCATCATGACACATTGAAGTCAATTATTCCCAGATAGAGAAAAATTTACTCTGTAAACAGTGTATGTAAATACAGCAAGAAACTAGAACTTACTCTGAAATACACGTATCTATATGCCAAAAATATTCTTTAAATGCTTTGTTGGTTGAGCCTTCTTTACAGAGTGGATCATATCAGGGTAGTGAACCACAGGGATACTTATTTAAAATAAAAGGAATTAGAAACTTAAAATATCCAATATTCAACAATCTGAAATTTAAGTGCTGCATATTCTTTATGCACATAAAACCTGTTACAGCAGGAACAGAGATCAAAAGGCTGATATGGCATATGTCTGTTTCTTGTGAAGATAGAGGCAGAGTTTCTTGCCTCGATTCCTATGTATAGTCCTAATATTACATGTCTAATACAGAAAACCCCTTAAGGATTAAATCCTAGTTTATTGTTTTCATAAATGGAAAATTCTTATCCTGTAATGGTTTTGTTTATGTTTTTGAAGTTGTGACCATTCAAGTATAAGATTAAAACTGACATGTATAAACTTTGAAAGGGTAAGAGAAAAAATGAAGTTCATGGATACAGATTCAGACTCACAGAAACTAGATACCGTCTATTTCAGAAGTGACAGGATTTTTTTTTTTTTTTAATTATTATTACCAGTCTTGTAAACATTATTAGAGTATGAGACCATTGTACCAGTTCTTCTGAATCAACTGAATTACTTAACAGGTCATTAAAATAAATTTCTCCTCTTTATTAAAATTTAAGAATATGGTCCCTTCTCTTTTTTCGTACCCATTAAAAATACTAGTGACACATACCCCTCCAGTTCAGAACTAACGAATGGGGCTCCTATGAAAGCCAAATCAGTATTATTCCACATCTATCTGAAGTGCACATCATTAAATAATATGTGGGATGCCACAACCATATCAGTGGGGTAGTACCCTGATAGTGGTTACTGCAGACATTGTAATCAGAAGTTACATTTATGTATGAGGTGACTTAAAAAAAGCCACATTTCCTGATCATCTTTACCCATAGTAAAACAAATTATTTGCATAGAAGCCTTCATTATTTACAGATCAACTATACAAGTAATACAAAAACTCTCAGTTGAGCACCAGTGCTGACTTAAGGAGTAACAGCTTCAAGTCAGTGTGTTAGTATTCCCTGTCACAAGTGACTTCTGATATACTTTCAGAAGTTTTCCTTTTCTGTATTGGTTGTATTCAGACTACTTCTTTGTTTGTGTCCATCTTCCACATTCCAAGGAGATCAGTAATAGCAGCAGTTTTATAAAGGTATAGGTATCATGGACAGCTTTCACAGCATAATCAGTTCAGATCTTTTAAAAAGAAAAGACCGTAAAATCCACTGATCTGGATTGTAAGGTTTTACCAAGAGTTCATTAAGTGGAGTTTGTATGCAATTCATGTGAGAATAAATGGTTGAAACAGACTCAGTTTCTACGTGCAAAAAATGGGATGTCCGACGGTGACAGGAGTCCATATTTAATTCAAGGGCAGTAGGGAACCCATTTGTCCTAAGTGTCTATGAATTATGCCAGTCACGTCACCTTGGTCTAGAGTAACCATAAGGGCACCGGAGAATCAGGCTGTCATGACTAGGCAAAACATGAGTGCTGTAGTATTCGACCAAACTTCCCATGTTCAAAAACGTGATGTCTGAATCCAAGTAAAACTTGCAATCCTGTGGTAGAACAAAATCATATGTAATCATTGACAGTGATTTTTCAAACTTGTTTTAAAAAAAAAAAAAAAAAAACAAACACATCATCAGAACTAAGAAGTTCTTTCAAACCAGCTATCGCTTTGCAAACTAGTCATACAAATAAGTCCAAATTAAACTTAGGAATTTAATACTCCTTGCTTTAGGATTTGTCTGGAGCTGAAATTCAGATGTGAACATTTACAACTAATTTGTCTTTTGCATGATTCAGCAACTAGAAAGCCCAGATCAGAGTATTCAAACTCTCATCCTAGACCAAGTATTTGTAAATCAGCTTATTTTTACTTTTATGAATGGGAAGAAGTTTAGACTTTTAACTTCTTAGTTCTGATATATACCTATACACAGGCACACTTTATACACATATAAATACACATGAAATTCATACATGTATACGCAGACATACATACACATGCACACATAGTGCAGCTACCAACCTTTTCAAAGATTCTGTAGTTTCTCACTTTTTCTGCAGATTCATCCCATACGACCAATACCTTGAAGAAAAATGCAACATATTCAGTCTATGCTAATAAAGTCGTCTAAGTCAATGTATTAAGGAATTAGTTACAATCCAGCCAAAAAAAAAAAAAAAAAAAAAAAACCCAAAAAACACTGAAGTTATGATAGTGATTGTCTCAGATTTTCTTGCTTTAAGGAAGAGCAGCACATCTAAATGGTTAAGTTTATTTCTCACATATAAGATACAGTATCTCTAAATCAGAAAGATTTTTAGGGGGTAGATCCAGCAATTGCAAGTTACCTTTCCAGGCTTAGTAGATGAGTTCCTAATACAGTACAATCCATTTTGCGGTTGTCCCTGTGGGCTACTGGCTTTAAATGTCCTAAAAATAATACAGCAATTATATATATTAGCATTTTCTGACTCAGATAAGTAAAATGCCTAGCTTCTTAAAATTCTAATTACAAATCTCTATTTTGGGTGTAATAATTCATAGTACATTACAGCTGAAAGAATTTCACTGTTCCAGAATCTGAACTAGCAACACAACCCAGAAGATCTGGCTTTCTGTCCCATCTAGCATCCTGGCAGAACAACGTTCTCCAGATGGAGCAAAATTACTTTACAAGTAGCATGCATTTTCAACTGATACATGTGCACTGAACTAACTCCCCTAAAAAGTGATTTCCATATTAAAGGAATTTAAGTAATTTTATTGTGTTTTTAAACACAAATTGTACCCATCAAAATTATCTTTGGACTACTGTTCAGTGCAGGTTTTTGTAGGACTTCTAAGCAATAATTTTAAAGTCACATTCTACCTTTCAACTTCAAAGGATTCAGAGGTATTAAGAAATACCGAAGCAGGCAGCCCAACCTGTAAAAAAATATGAAGAAAATAAATCACCATTTAAGTCAATGACAAGTCAAAACGTTAGCAACTTGTTATGCAAATAAGCTACAGCCATCAGTATCTGAAATTATTAATGGTGATTTAATCTTTACTTTATGCTTCTTCCTCCTTTACATCCAATATTAAAATTCAGTATTTATCAAGGCATACCTTAAAACTCAAAAAAACCCAATCCCACCAAAAAGCCCACACAGCACTGTGTTTTCAGAAAGTTATTTTTTTCTTGAAATAATGCATTTAAAATGTTCCCAAAACTATACATAAGCAAGAAAAAAAAATAATCTTTGAGAATGGATCGTTTGCTTGATCTTACTTTTTCATAGTCATCATCAGAATCATCACCATATTCATTTGGCTTGGTTGGTAGTGCTGGTTTTTCAAATGAGAAGCTTCTAAAACTCTGTCCATCCGGTGGTGATCTCCTGGCAGAAACAGAACAAAAACTGAAGGACATCTCAGGAAAACAGAACAAACACATAAAATACTGAAGGGATAATAAAACCAGAAGTGAAGAACAAGTTTCAGTTTAGCCCCTAAATTACAAATTAAGTTAGGTTAGACATGAACTCTAGAGATCATTTAGTCCAAGATCCTGCACAAAGCTGTCCCAACTAGATGGGGTAGCTCAGGAAGCCGTGTCCAGGCAAGTTTTGACTGTCTCCAAGGATGTAGATTCCACAGCCTCTCTGCAGTTCTGGTGTTTCACCATCTGCAAGGTGAAAAGTTTTTCCTAATATCTAGCTGTAATTTCCCAGGTTGTGACTTCTGCCTGTTTCCTCTTACCCTATCACTGCAGACCTCTGAGGTCTTGCTGTCTTCTCCATACCCACCCACTAAGTAGTTGTAGACAGCAGAGATCTCCCATTAGCCTTCCTAAAGGCTGAATAAATCTAATTCTCTTAGCCTCTTCTCACACATCATGTGCTACAGTCCAGACATCTTGGTGACCTTCCATTGGACTCACTCCAGTGTATCAGTGTCTTCCTTGTTCTCTCTTTAAAGAGTTTATTACTTGTTCTTCAGAGCTGCTAAACGATTCAATGGACAAAAATATTTTCATCCAACTCTACCCCATAACTACTTCCACATCGCTTACTAAAGCTGATCTTAATATAAAATGAAACAGGTTTCCTTTCTCCACAAAAGCCTAAAATTGTTTTTGCAGTTCATTGAGGTTCCGACATAACAGCTTTTCATTCACTGCCAAAGGCTATTAAGTCTTTAAGACACACCTAAAAAACAAGCTACAAAAATTTTGGTGTGATTTTTTTTTAAAGTTTGGTTTATCTACTATTTCTTTCTGAACTATTTCAGAAGCTAAACTCACTGCAAAATTTTCAAACAACAGAGACAAAAAAAGCACAAAACTCTGAGGAAGAGAGGGATGGTTCAAGGAAGAGAAACATGTCGATGTGAATCTGAGAAATACATCTGTCAACTAGTTAACTAATACGCAATGAAAAAATTCAGTAGTGCATTGTATTTTCATACTTACTGTAACTGGGGACATGAAGACTTCTCTGGTCTAGGCTTGATTCCAGGGGGCTGGTGGCTTGGCACAGGTGGCTTTGGGAGCACTGGTGGCACAAACAGTCCAGGTTTACTGTGTTCTCTTGGCACTTTGGGCTCTACTGGTTTTTCAGTAAACTGTGACAGCTTGGGTTTATTGCTTGGTAGTGGAGGAGGAGTTCGCGGTGAAAGGTTTAAGGTTTTTAGCTTCTCACATCCTTCTGGAGTAGCAAGAACTTGAGCTAAAGGCAGAGGCTCTGGAGGCAGTGAGCAAGATTCTTTGACACACGCGGGCTTTTTAAAAAGAGGTAGGGGAGGTACAGGGGGCAGCTGTTCACTTAGTCTCCGGCTTGAGGATTTAATCTTTAAATTAGGTTCAGCTCGGCACTGTAACTGGGATTCTCTCGCGTTTAAGAGATCCTCTAGTTTGATTTCAGGTAAGCTCCTTTTAGGAGGCGGTGGGGGTACTGTCACAGTAGATTTGCCAGCAAAGGAATTTGTCCTTGATTCTGAGTAGGCAGCTTTTCTGGCATAAGGAACTGGTGGAGGCGGGTAGGCTGGGGGCAGGACCATATCTACAGAAAGAAAACATCCAAAAAACATGACACACTGAGGGGAAATACAGTATGTCAAGAAATGGCACTTTTCAAATTAATTTTCTGTGCGATTTAAGATATTTCATTAGCATCTGGTCTGATAGTACCCAAAATGCCAGATACGCATTTAACTTTCAGCACAATTCTGAATGGTATGTGTAGCAAACTCCTGCATTTTTTATTCAGGCATGGCTAATGATGACTTAGCAAAGAGTTTTCGTTTGCTAAAAATAAAGACTACATTAAAAGCATTACACCTTCTCAAGATTGATGACCAGATACAGATCCTTCCACAGCAAGAGGTCTGCAAGAACACATGCCCTTAAAGGCATGTAACACTTTCTGTAAATTGTTACTGACATTATTAGGAACTTTTGACCCCAAATACCTCTCAAGATTAGACGCTGTGCATCACTTCAGTTATTTTACCACCTGCAATGCTTTAGATACAACCAAGCCAAAATAATAATCTGGCACACTACACGAACACTGCCTTCATTGAGGGCCTTTCATGAAGGGAATGAACGAAATCACATACCATCTTTCACTATATCAGAAGTATCTGGCTGCAAGTAAGACTCCTCCTCTTCCTCCTGGTCATAATCTGCAGATAAAAATCAATATGTCAGTACTTCTGGAACCAAGAAAGAGTACTGAGTATCTATTGCTTCTTAATAAACATATTTTTCAGTTTGTTTCGTTGTTTTTCTTAAAGAGGTGAAAAAAAATTTTGGTCCACCTCTCTGCTATTTAGAATAGGTGTTTCCTTCAATTTTTATGTCAATTAAGAAAGCCATCACTTACAGTGGGAGATGAACTACACTGCACATTAAATGTTTCCATCTTTCAAGTTAAAATTTGCTTTCTGGTGACACTTTCTAATGTTATAGCCTTCCCAAGAAAAATTAAATCAGTTGCCAAGACACAACACTGGCAAAAACAGTTGGGGGGAAAAAAAAAAAATCCCTAAAAATGCAACTCTAACACAGAAACATTTCTGATTTTGCAACATGGAAGCCTAAGCAAGCCTAGTGGTCTACAAACAATTAATTCTTTTTTAAAAAAAAAGAATATCTGACAAAAATCAGTTAGCTCTTCTAATTTTCCTAATTTATACTCCTGCTAGGCCTCTTAACATAATTCACATTGCATACAACCCTTCCTTCCCATAAACACAGAAGTACTAAACTACTATTCTACGTGAAATGCTGATGAGTGTGTTTTCCTCCACCTTGCTGCAACTGAACCGGATTTCCTAAAAAGACTCACTCCTGCCTTTTTGTCCCTGTCAGGAATTTCCTTTCAGGAAAGGAGAGTACTTCCTCTAATCAACCTTGCCTTTACAAATCTGAGAAGACAGATGGGAAAAGGCCTAGTAAAGGAACTCTGTTGAACCTTGAGGCGAGACTTCTCATGTTGGGTTTTACCAATACATTTCTTGACTTGGAGGCCAGTTGCTGAAATATGCTGTGGATGCCTATCTGACAGGCTTTCTGTAATGTCCTTACTTCTAATTAAAACATAAGCACACTCAGCCCAAACTGTTTACTGCAAAACAACTACAGCTGTGAACAGGTATCGAACTTTGAATAAAAAAAAGGCTATGCTGAGATTTTCAAAGCCTTATTTTAAAAAGTTACTCAGCTTGAAAGTCATTGAAGAATGTTATCCTATGCATTTCACATAGGCCCACCCTACGCCTACTGTAAGATCTTCCTGAACAGGAGAAACAATCAGTTCTGTTTGATACTAAACAGGTTACAGCACAGATGCAACAACATCCCAGTGTGGGTGACTGCTTGTTTTGCAAGACAGGTTAATTAATTTCACAGTCTAGATAAGAGGTAAGTAGCTCCACACTGTTTTACTGCATTGTCTCCACGTTTTCAGAACATACTAATCATACTCAATTACTGTCAATAACATTCAGTTATCTTAGTAAAGACCACTTCATATTTCTGCACTGTGACCTACGGACATACTCAGAAATTTTATCTTTTTGCTAGATCCACAAACTCTCCAACATGCAGTCTTAATAAAAATTTTAAATAGTATCATTAAGGTATCCTTGAAAGATCTGAATTTCTTTGTTACCATTTATTTTTACTAATGGTTTATGGCACATAATATCTGCCTCTGATTTAAAACAACAACAACGACACACCTTGTAGAAAAAAAAGAATTTGCAGTTGCAAATTGAACCAGTTTGCTTAAGCTACGGGAATAATTCCTGCAGAATTCAGAAGAAATAAATAAGGAAATAAATAAATCGTATTTGTTAGTGTCTAAATTGGTCACCTTCATTATCTCCTGAATGATGAGAATACTTGATATCAATGGGGCGTTCAACTGAGCCATAGAAACTGTCTGCATCAGAACCAGAGTCACTGCAAAAGAAAATACAGAGTTCCTTCTGTGTCACTGTGCCAGCAAACATGAGGTCCTGAGACAGCAAACATGTCTGTCAGCAGGACAGCAGCGCTGCAAAGGAATGCTGGAAAAGCAGAAGCAATCTATTTCTATTTCCAAACTAACAGCCAGATATGTTGTTGCTGTCTTTTCAAAGTTTTTACTTGTTTTACACAAAGCTGACATTTAAAGTTCTCCTAGTGAAAAGATTTACTTTTGTCTTGGTATTCTTTAAACCATGTATTAGTAAAGCCTATCGTTCTTGGGCCTTGCTGTACCTGTTTTTATATAACAGTAAATTACTTGTAGGTACAAAGAGTCTAAAACACCACTGTCAAGAGCTAGTGCAAAAGGAATAAAAAGCAAATAAAGATTAAGGATTTATACCTGAATTCTGTTATTGTTTCTTTTTTCTCGTGGTAGTGATCAATTTCCCTCCTCAAGGATAGCATCCAGTTCTAAATAAGAATAAAAATACAACATTCAACACATCCATCTTTAAATAATTAAACAGAGATACACAGTATCTGCCCTCCACAAGAAGAGTAACAGTGCAAGGAACCTACACTGAAGTAGTATTTATCCATGGTTTTATATTGAGAGACTTATTAGTCAAATGTTTTCACTATCTAAAATGCTTTAAGAACGTATTAAAATTTTAAACCTTCAGTCTGCGCATTTCAAGCTGTTATTTCTCAAGCCACATACTTGCTTATAGTATGTGAGTGATAGATTTCACTGAACCATTTTCATACTTTAGCAAAGGTTTAACAAACAAATATCTGTTCCTTGGCTAAAGATAAAATGAGGAATATGGAGAATACCATGCCACCCAGCATGTCACTTACAGCCATTCCCTAAACTACAACTTGAACTAACACTAACTTAATAGTTAAAACTTCAGGCATGATTTTCAGAGCCCAAAAAACTAGCTAGACAAATTTCAGTGACAGCTGCTTGTGCAGTTCATATAGATTTTAGGGAAGTCCAAGATTTGCTTTCTCCGTCAAGGAAAATGATATTGCAAAAGAAGAAAGTTACCTTTCTTTCATCTTCAGAAGAAGCTGAAAAAAACCATGTCCTGTGCTTCTTGCTAATGTGAACTAACTTGAAAGGAAACACGTTGCTTGATGTTGTCTCCTCAGCTGCCCGCATAACCCTGAGAAACAGAACCATCAATACATAAAAACCTTAATCTATACAGTTAATTCTGCTGTGCAAGTCATAAAGCTCTGATAGAAAGCAGTTTTACCGGCCAGTTTTGTCTTATGAAAAATAACCCCCAAGCCCAGGAAAATACCACAAAAATCCCCATGTGTGCCTTTGTAGCACTTCTCCATTAATGTAGTAGAAAGGACAATGCAAGAGCGCTGACAGGAAAAAGAGCAGTAGTGAAACCACCAGTCAGATTTACAAATGGGTGTTTTGAGCGGTTCAATAGTTTTAACGAATTACATTAATTCACAAGCTTCACATCATGGTAAGTATTTAGGATGCCTGTGATCCTTATTTCAGAAAGGCACACAGGAAAAATCAAAACATGGGTTTTGCATGAAAATAAAGGAGAACTAATATTAAAAGTTAATTTAATCTTTCCACTTTTCCCTTATAAACACTTTCTTGCCTTTTTTTTTTCCTTTATTATTTTAAAACAAGAATAACTCAACCTCTTTCACAAACTGCATTAGATATGTTTGCTTCTTTTTATTTTTTCCCCAAAGGAGTCTCAAATGAGGAAATTCCTAACATACACAAAAATGTGGTTGCAAATGCTTACTATAAGGCTTTGGAACAAATAAGGAGACTAAAATCCTACAACTGGGTAATCTAAAAAGTAATGTTTCTAAGATTTTTTCATCATAAGCCAGTGAGAAATCTCATTGAAATTTTTTACAATAACTATAGGGGCTTGCTTTATTTCTAAACTTTTTAACTCACCGATTTCCTCATATAATACAGTATTTCCGTAAGTCCTTAATGTTTAGCAAAGGTGGTTTGTAAACATAGAAAAAAAGATTCTCAGAGATCTCTGACTTTTGGTTAGGTACCTAATCAAGATAACATTGTTTTGAAAAAAAAATGTATCTAATCAACACCCTGAAGCTGCCACCAAGAGTAATGTCAACTACAAAATTAATTCAGAATTAGAGACCGCATGTTTTTTAGAACCCCAATCCTACTTTTACGCTGGAGGTTGTAGTTTTCTGCATCTGCCCTGTCCAAAACAAAGCCACAAAAGGAACTGTAAATTACTTCACTAATGTAGGGCTGATAAGGATGTTAACATGGGAAATCCCCATGGTATAGCTGTGAGGGATACTAGCAACAGGCATCGCTATACATTTTGAGTCACTAGTGAACTCAGCACTTTCCCATTTCCTGTCCACTCTTAGCACATAAAGGCTACTAAATGAAAACTGCAAAATAAGAGTACAGGGAAGCCTTAGAGTGACTTGCTTTCACACAACCTTATGCAACTACCCAATCTAACAAATTCTTTCATTTCAAACTCTTTTTCAATAATGCTTATGTCTGTGCATAGTACTGACCAAGACCTGGTCCCAATTCCAACCAAAGCATCTACGAGGTCTGCTAGAATGCAGATACATAAAAAGCAGTGACACAGTACCTGGCATTTACAAATTCCATCTTATTTTTCACATTAATGTGATTACTGAAGCTAGTGTCATGACCAAGTTAAGGTATAGGTTTCTTGTACAAATTAATCTTGAATTTTTAACTAGCCACAATGTTTACAACTTCATTCCCATAAAACATGACATTGTTATGATCAGTTAGAAAGCTCTCACATTCCAGTAAAAGGTATTTCCTTATTATAAAAGTCTGGGAACATTATGCAATACAAGAATAACATACATATTTACAAATACAATAAAATTGCAGTGACTACGACCAATAATGTGATACATTCTCTCTCTCATTAGTCCTTTCTTAGCATCAGTTACAACAGCAATTTCCTAAAGTTAGGTTAGACTTCTGTTAATAGGCCTTGAACATATGGTGCACTCAGTCATATTCTAATAGTACTAAACTTGAAAGCCACATATTTTTGTCTTCAACTTAGAAAGCAGATACTAAGATTTATAACATGTAACAAAATAAATCAGACATTTTACACATGTATTCTCTCATTTATCACTCCTGTCATTGATTCAGATTTGACACTATTTAGTGTTAGTGAATCAGTAACTCCATAAATATTCCTTTCCAAGTCCTTTATATTTTTGTGATGATCACTCAAATCACTAGAGAACAAAGTCCATTAATCTGAAAGAATCCACATCTGTCTGCATGTGCAAAGTCTCCATTAAGCTGGTAACAAAAGTAAGTCTAATGCAATTTTAACAGCTTTACTGGTTAAATTACAAAAGATGAAGGCTATCAACTTGCAAAACACAGGAAACATCATATATACAATTTGAAATGAATACATCTCTCTGAATTCGAGATCAGACCTTAACCCAAACAACAGATATAGTTGCATTTACCTTCATTGGAAATGAAAACCATAGCGCTCTGTATTAAGTAAAAGGAGCTTGGGTGTTAAGTAAATTCTTTGGCACTCACCTGTTGTAACCATTCAAAGAAAATGCACCCTGTGGAGATGCAGATGTGCTGCTCTTAAAATAGTAAATACATCCCTCGTGGATAATCACAAATCTCAATGGCCCTGAAAAGATAAAGAAAAAAAAATAGTGAGCAAAATATAAATCCAAAGGTAGCATATTAACTGGAACCTCTTTACTTGGGTAGAATTATTAAGATTTTAGCATTCTTAGTAATTATTATAAAAGAGTATAAACTAGTTAAGTGACAGCTTGTTGATGATCAGGCACATGGTAGAGCCGTCCATTCACAGAGTTTCAAGATTAAGGGTAGTATTTGCTTCGCTCATTTGAGAGGCAGCTGACCTGGTAACTTCCAAAGAAGCCTAAGAGACTGCAGGTCTGACCTCCATCTGTGCTCCTTTACTAGAAGAATAAGCTCATCTAAGAATGCAACCTAAAATGAACCAGGAGGAAGGTAGCCACAGGTTACAAATATATATTTATGTCCATCCCAAAACCATGATGGTATCTCCCTCTCATTTCACCTCAAGTACATAAAGCTGCCAATAAAACGACATTTTATTTTCTTTCTTTAAACACTCCTTCCTTTATCAAAGGCAGTAATCCTTGTCCTTAACTATGTAAGTATAGTTTAGTTATAAACAGGGATAGCAAACAAATAGCATATAAATAAATCCAAAATCTTAAGTTTTCTCCATGTAGATAGATTCTGATTCCAGAAGCAAATACTGTTTTTAAGTACAGCCTAATGTTGGCAGTGAGAAAATTTCCATTTCACAACAGCAGTAGAGTTGGGGATATTTTTCCAGTACAGAACAACAAACTGGAAAAAAGCTGAGTACTAATTTGTTTTTAGAAAAGAATATTTGAAATTGATACATATCCCAGGAAGGAATCTGTTTCTGTTTTTAAAATCTTACTTGTGGAGGACTTGACATGAGATTTAACCAAGTAAAAGAAAACCAGCCACAACACTTATAATCTAAGATTTACAGTTCCAAAACAATTAAAGGAAATTCTTTCAATATGGGTCTTTCATACCTATATGCCAGTAAAATTGGAATGCAGTACAAAGTAAGAGGAAGAACATCTTCCTTAAATAGTCTGCTAACATGAAATGTGCTAATGACCCCAAAGGCAAGCATTTAAAACATTTAATTTAGTTAATACCTCATTCAACTTACACTTCAAGATCTGCAGCTGGGTGCCTCCTTTTTTATGAAGATACCCTGATTTGGTCACTCCTCCAGGCATCGTCAGAAGGTTTTGTGCTCCAATTGCCTTCATAGGGACTGGCCAGACCTGGTCCTGCGAGGCCATCGTTCTGCAATTTAGAATAATTAAAAACAAAGTAAAACCCAAGTTTTAAATTAAGAAATGAGTACCGAGAAACAAAGCTTGTTTCCTTAAACAAGTTTTCCAAACAACTAACATGGTTCAGCAGTCAAGTATGTAGCACAGACGGGTGCTCAGAGATTCCAGGAAGTTTGTAATGTATAAAAAAAACATGGTGCAAAAAGTCCCAATTTATTTTTATACAGCTCTCAAAAGTGATTGACAGTTGTTGAAACAATGGAAGAGTGCTTAGCAAATATTATTTAAGGATTTGTATTTTTAAAATGCCCCAGATAACACGGTGAGACTTAATCAGGCAGGTGCCTAGAAAGAAAATCAGTTTCTTCTCCAAAGTTCTATGCCACACATGTATATACAATGTAATTTTCTGTATAATGAGGGAATCAACAGTCTTATTTTAGTAACTGCAGTATCCAATACCACTTACTCCTTATATTTACATGTTTCATTCTGAATGAAATCATTATCATATGATCTTATTTTGGATATCATATGTGACAGCATTATGTGCAAACGAAGTTCATCTCAGATTGCTGTAGGCTTCCATTTAGTTTATAAATAAATTATTAATGCCATGCTGCACCAAACATCTTTGCAGTTACCAGTCTTCCTGCTGTCATCTTAAACAGGTTACCAAAAAAATTAGTTTATTTAGTAGTTCGTTCTTTCTTCAACTGGTAACAGAACTAGACTGAAAATCCTACTGTGTAATACAGAAAAGAAATCATGCATGAACTGAACAGCGAGTTTGACCCAGACAAAAGGGTCTGTTATCCTCAGGTGTAGGGCTAGAGATCTTTGCTGGTAAGAGGCAAACTAATGAAGTTCCAGCTAATTCGTTTCTCCTAAAGGAATGATGGTTTAGAACTGAAAAGCTTTTAGTGGAGGACTGAAGTCTAATGGATCCTGTTTGCTTCGCTTTTCCCCAAAAGGGATAGTAATGGAAGTCAGTGAGTAGCTCAGTACAGGAATCCCAGAGCCTGCTGACAACACACCTACCCAAGCACCAGTTTCTCCAGCCTAAGATGGCAACTTGAAGTACCCATGCTGAAAGAATAAGCAAGTGATACAGTTTTGTTTAGGGATCAATTGAAACAGCAGAGTACGTATCTGTTCTATATACGGTAGGAAAAACAGAAATGCAAGTCAATTGATCTTTCAGTGGCTCAGCTTTGGATTTAGATCTAACTGCTTGCCCTTTGCTTGTGTGGGGGAGGCGTAGAAATTACTAGCAATTTCTACCAGAGGAGTTTAAATACAATTAAATGCTCTAGGCAGCCTAGAAAACTTAATCACAGAAATGAGGTTTCAGTCCCCAGTGTTATAAAACAGCACAAGCAGAGAAGACAGGATCCAAGGCCCTAGAAAGGATCTCACAGCAGGCACTGCAAGGCACCATGGTTTCCCCATTTTCCTCCAAGACCTTCCTGCTCACCAAAAGGTGGGTTACTTTTGTTGTATTCAGCTATATCCTTCCTTTTCATATTGTATGATTGAGATCTTTCCAAGCTGAGTTGTTCCTTCCTCCTCCTCCCCCACAATTAAATTATTAGCAACAGCAATGTGTTAACAGGTCCAAGAAGGGGCTACATAGATATTTTAAGCTTTCAGTAATTAAAAAAAAAAACACTAACAAAAGTTAAACACCCACACACACTCCCCCCCATTCAAAAAAAGGTCCTTCAAATGACTTCTCCCCATTTTGCATAAAAGCCAAAGGAAGGGAACTGGAGAACATTAACCAGCTGGCTGCTGACACCAAAGCACACCACGGTACTACTAAGAGTGACTCCCTTGAAAGAAGAAATGCAAAGGCATGTCATGGGCTTAAAAAAAAAAAAAAATTAAGAACAGGCACATCAACATTCAAACATTAGAAAATATGATTAAATTATTTCACTCTGTTTCTAGTTACATTCAGAAAAAAAGATTAAGTAAAAATGGAACCTTTTTATTCAGACTAATACACTCTGATGTCAGTTTTCTTGAACTAACTCTAACATTAGTCTCAGTGACATCCAGCAGTTTCAAGTTCATCATAAGCCTTCAAATCCTGCATGTTTTTACTACAAAGAACAGAACAAGAAAGGACTTGGGCACCTTGCCTTTGGTGTGAAACTGTTTCAGTGTTATGTACTTGAGTTAAAAACATATCAGAAGAGGTAGGGTTAAACATCTCAGAGAGGTTATCCAAAATAACCAGTAAACTGAGATTTCTAGGAAGCCAATGACAAACACCATGGACAAAGGTATCCCACACTAGGTAAATAAAGAAAACAAACATTTGACGAGGTCATGTGGGCCTTCTGTACAGGAATAGACTAGTTAGACTATTTACTAAAGCATGCCTGGATGAGGCATTTTTTCATCCACCTGAAAAGCCAGAATATCAGGCAGACAGAAAAAAATAAATCATGGAAGCAGAAGAGCAAGCAGGGTTAAAATAATGAATCCAGTTCTACAGCGTGATGACTACAGGATTTAACTGAGGGGAAAGGACAGCAGAGTATCAGGTTCTGCTTCCTCTATTCATGATGATTTCTTACTTTTGTCTACTCACCGTAAAACAGTCCTGAGAATAGAGACCAAAAGTCAGAACTTCCCCATCCCAGCTAAGTGAATAAAAGGAAATGTGGCTGAACTCCATGCAACCAAGTACACATATAAGCTAAAGAGCACACCTAACATACCAGGCTTTTCAACAGATTTAGAGGCTGCTATGCCTATTTTCTGGATCTAATTGTGGCTTACTGCATTCCCCACCACATCTGTAGGCTTTTTAAGCACTTTCATTAGCAGACACACTGCAGACACATAGGACTGGTATTCTGAATTGAAATGTTTGAGTTAGGCCTCTAAAATCCATTTAAGTACTTTGAACCTAGACCCAAGTGGATTTTTCTTCTTTTCTTGACAGTACAAAACAACTCTGGAAAGACACTAAAAGCTATTTTCCATCAGGCTGCTGGGAGAAAGCTGCCAAAACAATGTAACTGCAGGATCTTTATAGTAGAGGTTAGAGGAAGAAAAATTGATACACTTAGATTTTTCTGGTCTTAGCATCTACAACATGGTTGCCTTTAGCTCACTGAAATAGTTCCTTCCACTCTTGATATTCCTCTTATAATTTTTTTAATACATTACATGAATAACACATTGATACGGCATCACCAGGTATATACAATGGCCAGCACTGAAGTCACTTTAGACCCTGTTAGCTCCATAACCATTAGGAACAGAAAGATATATCCAAGTTCTTTCCTATGCAGTTACATTCTTGCACTAGGAGCCAAAGACCCCACTACACATTTTCACTCCAGGTGAAAAAGCAGAGTCTCTTCCATGGAGCTGACAATTAAGTTAACAGAAAGGGCTCACCAAGTGCAATCAAAGCCAAGGCATGCTCTTTCTGACACTGGTCCTCTGTTACAAACAGCAGGTGACATTACTCATGCATTGTTTTGTGCAAGCTCCTAGTATCAGCTACAGACTTCATTCTCCTTTCCTCTCACCAAGGGACTAGATGCCTATTTTTAAATTAAGGTTTCCATCAAGCCCCAAACCCCATTATAAATGGCTACTGAATCAACATTCTCCCCCACTGAAACAGCACTGAACTGAACCAGCTGAACCAGAAGAGGATGGCAGTAGACAGTGAAAGGCCTTGCATTTGTTTCTCAGGTGATGCCCATGAAGGAGATGATAAGCCTTAGAACGTTGCAGGAGAAATGGTGGAACAGCAGTTTAGAGGATTTGCTTCATCATTCAACAGTGCTTTTGGAAAGATAGAACAGCGCAGTTAGCGCTCCTGAGCATGATGCAGAGCTTATACACTCACTATTGTAATTCATACATACAAACTGGTCTGACAGATTAAAAAACAAACCAAATTTGCAGTGTATTGTTAATGTATCAATCAAATCAGTCCAAGTCTAACACATGAGTATACTTTTCTCAAACACTATCACCATGAGCTGATTTTTATTTTAAAGTACCATGAAAGTCAAAACAGCATGAAAAAATGTGAAATTACACACTTCATCATGTAACCTAGATAATTCCAGTCTGATGCAGAAGTTTTTTCTGAATCATAACAATACTGTTACCAAGCTCAAACTCTAAATGGAGAGTAGACCTCTGTTATTGTGTAGTACGCAAATGTATACATCTGTGAAATAATTTTAACCTATCCCCTCAGTCAGCGTATATCGAATAGCTAGATTGGAGGCTAGGGCATAACTTTACAGGCTAAAAGTCTCTCCATGCGTAAAAATAAAATTCTGCCACATTAAAAATCTGGATTACATTATAGAAGAAAACTTACCCATTTTGCCCTTAGGAGCTACTGGTGTTCAGCCCAATTAAAGCAAGTACAAGCTGATTCAACTAAGGATTGCATCCTGGAAGAGCCATGAGTCCTCTGTTCTTGCTTAGCTTCAGTAGAACATATGGTAGATGTGATCATCTCCACATCTTGCAGTATATAGGCGTAAAAACACATTACCCTCACCTCAGACTACAGCTGCCAAAAGTTGTATTAAAAGTTCTCACTTGTTATAATATTTATGGTCTGTCCTGAAGCCCAGTTTGGTCATGCTGAAAACAAATTAAAAACAGCCTCCAAAGCTGCAGTACAAAAATTAAACCTGATCTGAATTTGTAATAAGAATCTCTATGCCAATGATGTCTTTTTAAACTTCATAATATCTCATAATCTCTAGTCTTCAAATTGTATTTTGAAAGTAAAACCTAGCCAAGCAAGATGCTAGTTTCCTTCTGAATATATAACTTACATATAATATTACATACATAACACATAAATTACAGAAATTAATGTATTCCTCATATAATGCAGAGGGAGACTGAAGTTTCAGTCTCTACAAAAGGCTTAACCAAAAATGAGGCAGCATTACATACAGCAAAACTGTAAAATAAGCGCTTCCCTGATGTGCTCTCAGCAATTCTGAA